TAGGATTCTGAAAATGTTAATATTAATATAGGTGTTTCAGCTAATGGAATATTAATTTATCGTGATAAATTACGTATAAATCGTTTTGCTTGGCCAAAAATATTAAAAATATCTTATAAACGAAAATATTTCTTTATTAAACTTCGACCAAGTGATGTATGTATTATATTATTCTTTAATAAATAATGATTAGAATTGAATAAGATTTTTTTTTTTTTTGTTAGTTTGATCGATATGAAAGTACAATAGGTTTTAAATTACCAACATATCGAGCAGCAAAATCTTTATGGAAAATTGCTGTTGAACATCATGCTTTCTTTCGGTAGGATTTTATTTTAATTAAACAAAAAAAAAATTGTTTTTTTTTTTAAAGTTTACGTCGACCAGAAGAAATTCGTAAACGACCTGTTTTACCAAGATTTAATTCAACATTTCGTTATACAGGAACATATACATATCATCAAACTCGACAATTATTACTTGATAGACCTAATCCTGATTTTGAAAGATCATTAAGTAAACGAATGACAAGAAGTCTTGATGTTTGTAAGTTTAATTTAGTTAAAAATTAAATGTTCAGTACTTTTTTTTAAAATAAACGCTTAGTATTAGATACAAATTGTGGGTGTAGGTATGGCAATGTGATTGAGTTTGGAATGTAGGTCATACTGTCGGACAGGTTAGGATCAGAATCAACACTTTACGATCGGGATTGTGTAAATTTTGTGTGATAGTAAAATTTAAAAAAATAATGCTAAAGAAAGAATCTTAGAGATCATTGACATTGATAGAAATATAAATCTATTTAAAGAATTTCTTTTTTCTTGCTTTAGCTGGAGGTGAAACAATACGACCATTACCACGTCCTCAAAGTGTTGAACCATTTTTTCAAATACCAATACTTGAGGTATGATGTTATTATTTTGTTGTTCTTTTTTTTTTCTTAATATTTATCAGTCTTCTCTAGACATAGAAATATTCTTTAAGGTAATATGAATAAAAGAAATACAAAAAAAAAACAATTGTCTGTTTTAAAAACACTGCTAAAGAATGCATGGATTTGCTGTTTGAAATAATTCTTATTGATTTATATTATTTCATAGTCGAATTTATTTTTAGCATGATGAAAACGAACATATACCGACGGCAGCATATGCACATGTGAAAAAGAAACCTGAACGACCACCAGTAAATAATTTACTTTTATATATATGTATATAAATAATATTTTTGTTATTTAAGATTACACCACCACGAACACCACAACCATCAATAATACGTGTATGTTATTTAAAAAATTGAAGTTGTTCTATTTGTAAATATGAATTTTGAAAAGAAAAGAGCATTTATCAAAGATATAAATAGTTCTCAATTAAAAATTAATAGTTCTAGCTAGCATCATGAACATCAGATTTGCCAATTTTAATCATTGAGTTTCCATATAAGATATATTTTATCATTAATATGAGATCTGAGTTTTGTGAAACACGACGTGTAAAAGGAATGTTGAAGTATAGAATCGAATTCTACAAACGTATCGTTAGAATATTTGGACTAATGTTTATTTTAAGAAAAAAAAAGGATGAGAAGTATTTGGAATAACTTTTGATAGGAACAAGATAGAATGATCGACCGAGGGTTTTGACTAACCCTCCCCCCCCCTAATAGAAGCTCCCGGGGGTTTCTATTAAGTCCCAAATTTTTTCAATAATTTTAGATGTAAAACAAATTCCAAAGAATTCCAGGAGTTGTTAAGATTTTTTAGAGTTTTCAAACGACTTTCCAGGAGGTTTCGAAATTTTTATCTTAAGATCTTGAATCTCGGCAGTTTTGCAGTGAATATTACTAATAAAATTTTTCAAAAAATTTGTAAAAATAAGGAGGTTTATAATGTCTACAGCTTCTGAATAACTAAAATCTGATGCTTGCTTAGTTTTTTAGATCTTCCATCGATGGTTCGGATACGCGCCTGATAATTGAAAATTCATTTTAGTCACCTGACAGAATATGTGGATTTTCAAAAAGATCGATTGAAAACCTTAAAAACCCGTATCAAAAAAACTTGTAATATATGATTCAATGCGTCTTTATCTCCTTCTTCTAAAGGTGCAAACTGCAGCTCTCTATCTTGTTTCTATTAAAATAATTTCCATCCACCTTTTTTTCTTAAATGTAAATGGGTATTAGTTTCTAATTGTATTTCTATAGAACTAAGTAAAAGAATGATAAAGAAATGTGTCCAATAATCTCCTTGTGATTAGTAATATTTCATATTTTAATCCCACAGAAACTGTACTAATAGCTTTTTTTATAAATACCTAAATCAATAGTTGATGAATAGTCCTAATAAAAGATTTGTTTGTATAATAATACGTATAGATTTGATTTATTTATTCGTTACAAAATTATTGAATTTTTTTCTTTATTGATTCTGTTTATTGTTACTTCAGGAAGTAAAACCAAAACGACCACCACCACCGGCTGATTATGCTAATCTTCCAGTATGTTATCATAGAAATTTTCTACTTATATGATATTGTTATCTTGTTTTAGCCTGAACCACCAATTCGTCCGGCAATACATCGAGAAATATCGTCAACGATGAATTCTGATGATGTAAGAAAAATAAATCAATTATTTAATTTAAAAAAAAAAAAACTTTTTTTTGGTTTAGGCACTTCTTGCAGCTATTCGTTTAGCAACAGATCTTGATCCGAATAAACAAGCTGAACAAATCGTTATGGCTAATAGCTAAATCTATGTGTCATGTTTTTTTGATCATTTTTTCCTTTTATCTGTTTTGTGGTAGTTTCTCATGTATATTTCTTTTCCGCAATATTTGCATATCATCTTATTTGATGTTCTTTTTTCTTTTGCATATAAGCAGACAAATCATTCTTATTTCGATAATAAACTATCAGGTTATTCAATATTTAATTAATCATTTTATTAGAATTAATGTATAAATAATTGAAATCGAATTCGACATTTGATAAATACACAGGGAACTATACAATAAAATCTTCATATCAATGCAATTAAGAATATTTCTGTTAGCCTCTTAATTTTAAAAATTTTCTTATATTGATCCATCACACAATGGAACAGCAGCCTATTGTCAGTATGCAAAGTGACAATTTCTTGAACGATACCTTCAAAGATAGTATAAGTTTTTTTTGAAATTCAGTCAAGTAATGTGCTCACAAACATACACAATTCGCTATAGTATTTCCACACAACAATTGTTTTGATTATAATTCACCTTATTTAAATATGGCGTTTAAGAAAAGGTCTTAAAATGTCTTATTTAATTGAAATTCATTTGTTTGGATTGGAGATTATCTTCTTTGAAACCATCACATAAAACAGAATTCTCATGACCGTAAAAAATCTTTGTTTAGAGAGAGCAAAGGTTTAGTTTTTTGGGTGTGAGTGGGGTTGTCTAACTAAAGTTTTATCCACACCCTATACGAGCAGATGCATAATTTTCTCTTCTTTCCTATGATATAAAAATAATCATTTTATGACAAGAAATGACGGAGATATTACAGTCGCAATGAAGACCTATGAAATGTCCGTTCGCTTTAGGTACATTGACTCTATGAACCTCTATTTTTTTTATTACCGTGGTATTTAATCCATGAAAAAATGATGCAAATAAACAAAATCATCTTTATACAATCGAAAATTTTTATTCAACTAAATGAATACAGAATGAATTATTGAAACATAGTATTAAACAAGATAATGTCAATGTATTATATCAAATCTTAAAACTCAATATTTGATTTTTTTTAATTCAATGATGTTCACCTTATTCAATAACTCGAAGTGAATTGTCATCAATATAAGAATCGATTGCATCTCCGCCATTTCGCTTGAATAGCATTCTATATTGAATAATTCGAGTACCTACAGGAAGATTTACAGTCTTGTTATACAGACACCAACCAGGATCGCGTGGGCAATTTAGCATTCCCGAATCCATTTCACTCAATGCAGTATTCGTTGTTGATTAAAAAATGACAACAACTTGAACGTCATCAGAAGAAAGTAAAGGACGATGATGATTCTGATAATAAAATTGAATTTCAACTTTTAATGTTTCTGAATCAAGCTGAGCAGCATCAAACTTCTGTGCATCATCAAGTAGATTAACAAGTTGAGATAGACCCGCTAGATCTCCACCTGATCCATGACCACCAGCAAACATGCCAGCACCTGATCGCGGCGGGTGTGGGGTGTGGGGTGCGGGTGTGGGGTGTGGGGTGCGGGTGTGGGGTGTGGGGTGTGGGTGTGGGTGTGGGTGGGTGTGGGTGGGTGTAGGTGTGGGTGTGGGTGTGGGTGTGGGTGTGGGTGTGGGTGTGCCTGTGCGTGTGGGTGTGGGTGTGGATGTTGGTAGGTGTTAGTGTGGGTGAGTGGGTATGGGTGTGGGTGTCAGTCTTTCCTTAAGCAACACCGACACCCACGCCCAACTCACACTCTCACACACCCCACACCCACATCGACACCACACCCACACGTGCCCACGCCCACACACGCATCTACACACATATCCACACCTACAACCACACCCACAACCCCACACCCCAGCCACCGACA